CCCCCACCACCCCCACCATCACACACACACACACACACACAGGCAAAAACATGTCAATTTAGGAAACACAAACAACAAAAAGAGCAGTGGACACTCGTCAATGTATATACGATTCAACCTCCTCATATCATCATCAACCCTAAATTAGGACCCAAACAAAACAATGATCAAAGGAGTACCTTTGGAAAAGGAATGAGCACAAGAAGGGGGGGGCCTTTCTAAGGCAAAAAACACAACAAGGGGTCAAATGACTCAAAAAAAAGGAGTCGGCATCAAGAGGGGTAGGAACACAAGAGGGGTGGCTTCGAGCATGTCATCTGCATCAGCAGAGTCGTTGAAGAGGGGATCCCTCATCAATGGACGTACATAGCTCAGTTGGTACACCCATGAACTGTCAAAAGTACGGGGACGAGCTAAGGTCGAGGGTGTAGAGGGGATGACTGCTCTTATCAGCACCCCCCTCACACCCTCGCCTCGCCGATCTTCCAAGCCAAACAAAAAAAAAGAAAAAAAAAAAGAAGAAGACGACATTTCCTAGGCCCTCGCTCCACTCACTCCCTAGTGGCCAAACGAATGTGCGAAGCCCTGAGTGGTCTTTCCTTCCACCCAACCACCGGACATGTACACGGCCCTCCCCCATTCAACCCCCGGGAAGCGGGCCTGGCAATCCGTCATCATGATTGCAGATGGCCTAGGTTGCAGGGGTTTCCCCACTCCCCATTGCACTCACCATCTTTCTCTTCTTCATTGACTGGAGAACCTTCTGATCATAAGACGCCTCTTCCCACTTGATCAGTGGTTTGTTCCAAGGAAGGATCTTCATATCTTCCGGCTCCGCTAGATAGCAATACAGCTGAACAACCCGTGGGCCATCTTCCGTTGGTCCCACCTTGTCCTGTATGGCATTGGCACTAGAGGCAGAGGCAGGTCCATATGCTGCTGCAACTGTTTTCTGCTCCACATGCATGTCCACTTGTGGGGCTGGTAAGTCATCAGATGGTGACGAACTCCCCCCCCCGCTGCACTGCATAGACCCACTTCCATTTCTGTTCCCGTTCCCATTTTCATTCCCATTCCCATGTCCGTTCCCATTCCCGTTTCCTTCTGAAGGCTCTGGCCAAGCTGACGATTCAGCTCTTGAGATTGACATTGAGCAGCTGTTCGACAAACCAGAAGGGCCATCATTGGGACCAGCGGCATTGGTCCCATTCGTGGAGCTTCCCCCATGTGTCCCATTGGTGGTACTCTGCGCAGTAGTTCCAGTTCCATTGGTACTCCCAGCATTTGGTCCCCTGGTAGTGGTGATCATGCCACTGCAATCTCCCCTGTGTGCCCCTGCCTTCTTGTGCGTTTTTGCATCTTTGCCCTTCGTCTTCATCTCCATCTTCAACTGCTGCCACTCTTCCTTCCCACGTTTTGCGTCTTTGAAGCGATCCGCCAAGGCCACAGCGTGATGGTACCCGTCGTCCGAGGCTTCAAATTGGAGGACAACAACCCCCATGTGGCCCTCGTGATTATAAAGGGGTTTCGCCGTCTGGATGTAAAACCCCTTGAACAATTCGAACTTGGCTTCTTGTGCATCTAGTCCGGACCAAAGTCTACCTTCCTTCACCTTGCGGCAGTTCTCCACTATCACTATTGGCGGCCAAACTATCACCTTGTCGCTGGTGCCTCTCTTCACTGGAGCATCAAGCTGCACTGCAAGGTTTCGAGCCGGCACCCTTGACCTAGCAAAGGCCTCCGCTTCCGCGTTCACTGCGGCGATGGCCTTTGCGTAACCCCGGTGCTTTGCCGGCTTTCGTTTGTCCGATGTCTGCGCATGTCGGATCAGTCCCTTCAGCCCTCCATACTTCTTTGGGGTGTCACAGATGTCACAGCTCAACTCCACTGTAGAGACTGAGGGATCTAGACATCGAACCTTCATCAACGCAGAGCAGAGTGAATTCGAAACCATGAACTTCGCCTTGGCATCTGCGGCCTGCTGAGTCCTCGGCTGCTGATCGGATCCTACACCTACAACCCCGTTCGCTCCCAAGCCCTGCTGCTGCCTCTCCATACCTGCCATGATCTTCCTCAGCTGCCTAAGTGTTTCCACCTCTGCTTCCGTCTCAACCTCTGCATCTTCTTCGTCGCTCCCATCACAGTCCGAGGACTCCATTTCCCAATCATCATCCGCCATCGCTTCTTGTACTTGTAGAGAGTTCTCCGCCAGCCAACCCCTCAAGGTGGTTACTTTCTTTCTCTGCTAGAAAAACTGCACAAAATAGCCCACAAACGTTTTCGTTTCTTAGTAAAAAAGCTTTTTTTTTTCTTTCTTTTTTTTTTGTTAGAATAACACCAGCGCCCCCTAGTAAAAAGTACATTAACTTTATTAAGTAATGTACCTGGGGCTCTTATCACCACCATTAGCACAGTCTAGCAGTCTCCCTATTTGACGATATATATATATATATATATATATCGTCACAAATAGAACTGCCCGGTAAACCGTAGGCAGCGAGAGAGAAGAGGACAACAAACGAGGGGCTGTGACAAACTGTTTCGTCGGAGTTTCACCGACTCATCAAGAGGCTGAAATATATATATATATATATATATATATATATATATATATATATATATATATATATATATAATATATATATATATCGTCACAAACAGAACTGCCCGGTAAAACCGTAGGCAGAGAGAGAGAAGAGGACAACAAACGAGGGGTTGTGATA